TGATTCATGTCGATTTACGGCGGATCTCGAAGCGGAGGCCTCTGGAAAACAATGCCAGCTTTGGACAGCGTTTTTCCAGGAAATTACTCCTGGAAATCAACTTTGAACGCGCCATTAAGAAAACATAAGTTGAAATGTTAGTAAAAATAGGTTTTTTGAAAGAGAGGGACATGGAATACTTTCTTGTTCATCGAGGAGTTGAGTGGGCCCACCTCGAGAGATGCCGCGTCTACCGGCTGACCCGGTATAATATGAGCATAAAATGACAATCGTCCCATAAAAAATCTCACAAAATTTCTTGTCAGGAATTCATCCTCTTTCAAATTATTTATTTTTGTAGTGATTTGAATCCTGATCCTCGAATATTGTAGCAAATTTAAATTTTTGACTTTAATAGTAAGCGTAGTTACCAGTGACTAACGTTGATGAACGCACAGCTGACAAAAAATAATATTCTGAAATAAGCGAAACGAATTCCTAATAAATGTATTCGAAATTTATGAAAGACACGAATTTTACATTTTTGTAACATTGGAGTCAGTTGGAACACTGTTGACCATAATTAGGGACTTCAAGTGTTCATGATACATTTCTGTATCTGCTATGATTTCACCCAGTGAATTCGCTTCTGATTCCAACAAAGTTTTTTATAGAGGATTTTTGTCAAGCCAGGATACGATGCGTTCAAGTTTCTCCGGTAACTTCATATCGTTAACATCACTGATGAGGTTTTCGTTTTGAGATAGAGATATTCTTTCTGAAAATAGAAAAACTTTTAACTGTTTTAAAAATAATTAGAATGACTTTACGATAATCTCAAAAAAAGTTATATGGGCTTTCTTATGATACATACCGTATTTTCTCTAAAAGAAGCCCATCTCTATTTGAAGGTTGAAAAACCTCTAATCGATATTTTATTTTCTCTTAGGGTATCCGTACTCATTTTTGTTTATTTTTCTGGAACTTTCTGTTTATTCTTGTCGTTTTAAAAATATTGCAATTCAGTTGAAAACCGAAAGCCTTCTAATTTGAGCGTTTTCTCTGAAATTGGTCCACCCCCAGAAAAAGGTTGAAAAATAGAAGCCCATGGTCTTCTATGAAAGGAAATTTGGTATGTTATGAATTGTTACTTGGAGACATGTCCAAATACAGTGCGGTCAATACCTTTAAGACCCCCTTGGTTATGGACGCACAGGAAAAACTAGGAAAGCTTATAAAAAACTGTAAACGCCATTCGATTCACAATTAAAACTAACCTCTAGAGACAAATTTTCATGAAATCAGCACAATCCCTGTCCGTGTACCATCGAAAAAACCCATATGCAGTCAATATCTTTAAGACCCCTTGATTTTTCGATGTTCCAGTGATAATTTTCACGAGAAATTTTTTTGGAAGTATAAAATATCACACTAAAAATTATTTTAAATAGTTTTAGAGCAAATAAGAACGGTTTCTGAAAGTTTCCCGATTAGAAATTGGACTCTGAAAATTCATTATAATTGACCGAACTCTTCCAAAAATCTTTTCGACGTTAGTTTCAGTACTCATCGAACGGCCTAGCTCCGACTTTGAGAGTCTGTACTCATCTGAATTCTGACTGAATTTTTACCAATTGACTAAGACATCAAAACGGGGGTTAGAGCTTTCTAATAATATGAAATTCCATAGAATTTCATCAAGTAGAACGCTGTATTTTTTCATAAAACCGAAAATTCTCTCAAAAAGAGCAAAAATCGTGAGACGAATTTTCAGAGCCCAATTTCTGATCGGGAAACTTTCAGAAACCGTTCTTATTTGCTTTAAAAATTATTAAAAACAATTTTTAGTCTGATATTTTATACTTCCAAAACATTTTCCCATAAAAATTATCATTGAAACATCGAAAAATCCGGGGATCTTAAAATTGTTAATCAAATGGCGTTTACAGTTTTTTGATAGCTCTCCTAGTTTTTTCTGTACACCCATAAACAAGGGGGGTCTCAAAGATATTGACCGCACTGTAGCTCCCTGGTCAGATTCGCTAATGACATGACTCCTTGAATTGTCAAATTTGAGGCCATATATTTTATTTCCTGTGAAAGATTTAAGTGTCAACTTACTCAACATAGTCTGCAACAAAGTTATCATTTGACGAGTCTTCCGAATTTTGAATTTGTATCGATTTTCCTTTTCTTTTTGTTCTTTTTGCGGAGCAACTATAACTTTTTGGACAGTACCAGCGGCTTTAACTACTGTCGCCACATTTTTAACCGTTTTTCAAGCATTCATTGAGAAAAATACGGAAAATGAGCTGGAATAAATAAACGAATGATCTAGAGGTTTGTTGACATCTTCCCAGTTGCTATCAGCGCAAAATTATTTATTTCATACAACATTATCAATGACTTATTTAAAACTACATGATTCAGGAAGTTGTGTTTATGGTGAAGTACGTGTGATGTTTTTGTAGTCAAACATTCATTTCACCTCGAAAAACTTGCTTCGCTTTCACAATTTCGAGTTTGAATATTTATCTGGAAGAGGTTGTGGCTGTCCAAGCAGATCAGCAATCAAATTGAAACGATCGGATCCAAAAAACGAATGCTCTTCGCCATCGGAAGTGGTGACATTGATCCATGGCGCTCCATAAGCCTAAATTAACTGAATTATACTTCTCAGTTGGTCTCAACTACGCATTGCTTACATTAGTGTCCAATGCTTTGTTGGTATTCTCTTCTAGAATTTTTTCATATTTTTCCTCCTTACTCTTCTTGATGATTTCTTCTGGATTCTTCACTCCCACCACTTTCAACACCTCCATATAATCCTGGTCCTCGAATATTTTTTCACTTCTCAACCATAATCTCATCCACATTTCCCGAGCTGCCCGAAGCATAAGGTCCGGATCCTGCTTTTCCAAAACCAACAAGAGCTTCATGGCACCAACGGTACTGTACTTCATAATCCATTTTTTGAATTCTGGGGGTACATTCAGAGGAATGTCCCAGAATTTCGAAGTGCGTTGAACATCAAGCATCAACATGATGGATCTGGCTGGAAGCATTGCTGGGGGACGATTTCCGGAAGTAACCATTACTTGGCGAAGGGAGAATGGAATATAGTGGATGCTAACATCTTTCCATTTCGGTTCCAGTTTTTGGAGGACCTGATTTATTTTTGAATTTAGACTCAATGTCAGATAAATAAAGAAACTTACCTCAAAACCAATCCAACTATATGGCGACACCACATCGAAATAAAAGTCAATCCTGGGTTTAGTCATACCGGAAAAACTAGAAATCTAGGTATATTAAAAAATGTATAAACCGACAAAAAAAGTTTGTCCTTTTTTAACTGACCAGACCGTTTTATAGGAAACACAGAAAGAAGGAATAGTGTGTAAATCGGAGAGACTCAGGCAGTGAGAACACGTGGTGATAAGGAAGGCAAAGGAAACAGTGTAGTCTGATAAGCGAACAATGACTTATGATGGGAACAAAATAGAAAAAAAGATTTGAAAGTTCGAAATTTACCTGTTTGAAAAATTAAGAGTTGGTTGTTTGGTGGCCTAGAGAACACATGCAAAAGTTAGGAAACTGTGGTAAATTACCTACAAACACACCATGTAAATATCGGACGAACTCTAGGTCATAAAAATTGATGGCCTAGAACGCCAATGTTTGGCCGACATGTGAAAAGGATTTAGAAAACCCATTAGGTGCATGACCACTTCTGGACTATCAAATCCGGTGGCCTAGAAATATCATGTTGAAAAAGTTAGGACACTTTATCCCTCCTAGGAAAAGAGTTCAATGTTTCTGGTTATCTTCACCAGAGCACAACGATAGATGGTTCAAAATCTACCTGATCTTTGTCCACCCACCCTTTCACTATCCCACTATGTAATTTTTTGCATAATTCCAAATGCAAATTGTTTCTGATTTATAAAAACCACATCTCTTTTTTTCCAACACTTTCGAACCCCTCATGATCTCACTCCCCAAAAAAGATGTTTTACTTTATGCAGCTTATACATTTACTTGTTTGGAAGATCGTGCCTGGTCCTTTTTTGCCACTATTGTATTCGAGTTACTAGGCGGTATGTATTTCGTGTCGATTGCTCAGTTTTCGGAGAGCTTCTTGCAAATGATGTTTGGCGGATTTTTAGGACAATTCATCGATAGAATTTCTAGAAAAAATGAACTCTAAAAAATTAGAGTTTGTGTTTTTTTCCAAAAAAAAAAAAACTTTCAGCTATCATTCTAGTGGTTGTCCTGAACAACTTCTCGATTCTATTCGCAGTTCTTTCACTAACCTCGAAGTACCATAATCCTAGTTCGGATCATCCCATTTTACTGTACATCTCTGTAGTGTTATGTGCTATCAATCGGTTGTTTTTGAATGCCGAAAAATCAATAATCACCAGAGACTGGGTCGTCACATTGAACCATAAAAATGCGCTGGCTCGACAAAACGCAATGTTAACTGGATTTGATCAATTGCTGAATATATTAGCTCCAGTGATTGTTGGCACTATGATAACGTCTCATGGAATCTTCTGCGGCTTAATTTGCTTTGCCATAGGCTCAATGATCTCACTAACTTTGAAATCTACACTTCTATTTCTTTTATATACTTCTCATAGTTCTCTTCATAATCGGAACAATAAAAACTACAAAGCGCTGGAACATTCTATGGAGTGTGAAGAAGAGGAACCCTTTCTAATTCCCAAAACTGCTAGAAAACCTTCTGGAGTCTTTCACACTTATTGGAAGCAGTCGACATTTTGCGCTGCATTCGGTATGGCGTTATTCTACAAAACCGTCATGGGGTTTGACAACTTGGCAGTTGGCTATGCCAAAGGTGCGTCAGACCTTTCAATTTTCACAATTGGAATAGTTAAATCGTATGGAGCAATCGCTGGAATGGCTGGAGTTGCATTTTATGCTCTAATGGAGAAACGATACGGGCTAGTTCAAGCTGGATCTGTGGGATTGGTGGTTCAACAGGTTTTCGCATTCCTCGCAGTATGTACCATTTGGATGCCGGGGTCGCCCGTATGGGAACCCATTTCTAAAGGACCAAGCATTTTCATTTTTCTGATGTCAATAGCAACTTCGAGATTTGGTTAGTTTTGTGAACTGCGAAACGTACCCAAAAAGTCTTCCAGGACTTTGGTGCCTCGACATGGCTGTCACTCGCGCAATGCAACTTCACGTGCCGGAATCTGAAAGGAATACTGTATTTGGGTTTCATATGGCACTATGCCAAACATTCTCTGTACCCAAAGAGATGTTAGTGATTGCATTTCCAGAACCTTCACATTTCGCGTTGTATATTTTAAGCTCATATATTTGTGTTACGCTGGGGCAGTATTTTTTCTATTTGTACACCAAGAAACATGTTGAATGAAGCTGGTACAAAAACGGACCGAAAAAGGTGTATTTAAAAAAATCACCAATTATCTGGAAAACTTGTAAATGAATGCAACGTTTTCAATCTAGTTCTGTGTTACACCCTACGAAATTTTTTTAAGTGATTGGAAACTTGATAGCGGAGCTACAGACTCCTGAAAATGGTTCAAATTGCTAAAAACTGCCCAGCGTTCGCAACCGTAGCTCAGCTGCTTGAGGCGCGGCTCCTCAGAAGATGGGCCCACAAGTTCAAATTCAGTGCATATGATCGAAGCTTCGACAACTTTTTAAATATTGTCTATTAAAAATAATCGCGC